TATAATAGTAATAACGCGGCCGTTGAAGCGCGAGCGCATTTCCTCCGATCGCGTGTTTAATCGCGCGGGGTTGAATGGACGCGCGGAATTCGAACCTATTGCGCAATGCCTTGATCGTGAAATGCCGTTCTGCCGCCGATACGAGATAATGAGAAACCGCGGCACGCGAGGTACGCAATGCAAATCGTTTCTCTCCGGCACGGAGCGATAGGCGCGCTGAAAACTTGACAGGCAAATTGCTTTTAATGTCATCTTTTCTTAAATTATCGCGCGTGATTAAACTTCAAAAACCGTACGTCAATTTGACAATGTCGTCGCAACGATGCGCGAATACCGTAGAAATCTTTTTCAACTCCTTCTTCCAGAAAACACCAGAAATTATGTACCTCACGTGATATTTGTACGGTTAAATCATGCATGGTCCCACTCGTAACTTGAATACTTGAATAATAAATGCTCTCCTGTTTGCCTGTTCTCCTGATATTCTCGTCGCAATAGATACGCTTTATCGCGGTGAAAATGAGCGCGAGTGCGACACATGCTCATAATTAACCGCGCGCTTTTTATCACCTGCGACGTTTCTGCGAACGTCACGATAGCTGATTCTTATCCGAATGATAAAGTGCCGTGAAACATTCGCCGATTCGCACATTGCCACACTAGAACGCTGTTTGAACACGGGAACACTTTGATCGTGTAATTACAATTAATTGACTTGGATTACGAAACCCATCGTTCTCAACCGAAAGCAGCAAATTATTATCAGTTGTGAGATAATGCGGGATAAATTCCATACCGATGATAATATAACGAACGATATTATCGCGATCTCACTGTGCTATCGAAGGTTGAAACGAGGGTTCTCTATTATGACTCATTGGCGTCGCAACAAGCGACCACGATACGACAATGGAATTATGCGCGCTATACACGTCCATAACAGTTTATTTATGTATGCAGGCGCACGCATCGGTATACAATATGCAGGATCGCGCACAGAATGCAGTAACCAATGCACGCGTAAAGGCAGGATCGAGCATCGGAGCATCCTTTGGGACATTACGCGCCGCATTCCCGAATCCGATTTATCCCGAGACGTCGTAAACACGAAGCAGTCGCCTTCTCTGAGGATGTTTATCGCGTGCATCGGCGGAATATGAATCTACATACGTAGGACCATGTCACATACATACATACATATAAATAAATTGTTCGCCCGATCGAGAGTTTCAGTTTGTTCTCGAGTTATTACCGACAGTCGCGCCATAAAATGTCGTTGTTTGTATCTCCGAGCGGACACATTTCATCGCGTATATACGTTTTGGCAAACTTGCGTTTATAACGAGCTGCAATTATTTTGACAGTCGACGTGATGGTACACGAGGGTGATATTAGAAAAAAGCCTAGTTTGGCATAATTTTGCTGCTACGCGTGAAACGTGACGTACAATGAGAATCACTTTTACTAAATGGTTGCATATCTATATTAATATAGTATAATTAATAATTAATTATGAAATAGTGCAAAATATACCGTAACGGTTAGAGTCATTAATTCTTAATGTATCGATAATTACGCAATTTTCTCGTCGCAAAACATCATATAAAATGGATGTCATTTACATCCTACGCATATTAAATTATTAACGTGACGAGTTAACAAGAGTGATCTATCGGTTTAATGATTTCCACCTGGAAGTAATGTAACACGGCACTAAAGCAAACATGAAATCGATTATTTCGACAGTGATCGATGTCTCGTTCCGATCTCGTGGTCTTTTCAAACACACGCGAGTCCACACGTGTGAGGCAATATGAGGCAAGGTGAGAGTCGACCTTGCACTGGCCTCGGCCGAAACAAGAGAGGAGAAAAAAAAAGACAAAATACACGAACGCGGACGGTCTCCGCGCGAGATCTTACGGTCCACGAGAATCCTGTTACACCGGTATTTCCATGCTACATCGGAACGCTCGCGTCGTCGCTCCCGATGCTTTTTTATGTCCGCATTTTGTTTTATTATGACCGATAACAGTCAAAATATACGGGACGTTCCGAAAAATGAACGAGACGTCACGCATTTTATTGGAGAGAGAGAGAACTTAGTTTTATCGCATATCGTAAATCCAAATACAAAATATAAAGTTATTAATATACGTAATAAAAATTGAGATAAAAAAAATTATAACAAATATTAATGCGAAAACAGATATGAAATTACGATCTCTTGATTTCAAAAGTCATTTCCCTCTCTTTGAAGTTTTGCTACTTAAAAAAAAATCTTTTAATAATTAATCTGATATATGTGGTAAAATTCTTCGAAATTAGATATAAATAATAAAATGTCCTCACTGAACTTTGCCATTTATATAACAGAGTAAAAATTGGTTTAAAACACTTTTCTTGTCACATCTCACGCCTCGAATGTTTCTCCCAACCGCAAACCGATCAACTTTTTTTCAACCCCCAGAGAACCGGCTGAAACATTCGAAATGCAACACCTCGACCACTTTCTAGTATCTCGACATAGCTCGGATTTCAGTCTCTCGGGTTAGAACTCGTTTGGACTTTAGGGTCGAAACTGGTCTCTCGAATCCCACCTTCGCGAATCTTCTCGTGCATTCTCCTTGTGCGAAACGATCTGTGTTTGTCTCAAAGTTTTATTTGCAATTTGCAAAGACTTCACGGAAATCTCCTTCTCCAGAATTCTTGGAAGATCTCGAAGTTGAATGCTTTTGTTGTGATAATGCTTAAATTTATGTCTATACATTTTTACTATGAAATTAATATAATAAAATAAAACCATTAAAAATACTAATATATTATTAACGACGTCAAAATCAATAACCACGATTTAATGTAATTCGAGGACGATATGAAAAACACAAACTTTTCAATGGCATAAACTATTTTTTTCCAAATTCGTTCATTGAGCGTTGGCAAAAATGTGGGCGATACACAAATATTTTTTATATAGATACAATATACGCGAAAGTGTTGGGAATTTTTAGTAGCCAGACAGATACGCATATTTATCACACCCCCTTTCTCCTTTCTCTCTCCTCAATGCCATGAAGCGCATGCATAAATGAGTATCAGCGAATAATATTGTATGTATTCGCATAGCAACCGTCAAACAGCCTGCAAATAAGTTACCGCGTTCTAGGCATTCCCCCATTGTCTACCAGTTTTCATTGACAAGTCAATTTCGAACTATAATTGAATTGCAAAACTGGCCTGTCAGTATGACAAGACGACACACTGATCAATAACTGGTCAAAAATACATCGTTTGATATATCGTTTCAAAATGGAATTATAATTCTCATTTTCGTAATAATAAATATCAGAAAATTGTGAGAATGTTAGTCTACTTAATCGGAAAATTAATTTCCAATATTAACGCGAGATTTATCGCGCGAACAAGAAATTATAAATTCTCGTTTCTTCGTACTGATAAATATGTATCAGAAAATGGCGAGAATGTTATATATTAGTTAACCAGAAAATTGATTTTCGATTTTAACGTGAGATTTAGATAAAAAAATCCAATTTCCTTGATATTGAATCAAAGTGATATGTAATTTCCGACATTCCTGCAGGCGGATATCTCTATAGATTCCGTATAAGGATTAAGTATTTTACAGCGTGCTTTTCTAGACATTCATGATTCTCCGTTCCTCGCCTTTCTCTTTCTCTACCTGTATATCATCCGTTTTTTTCCGAATTATTACCAATCGATTTAATAGCTAAATTAAAAAGCTGAATTATAAAACTTTGGTGAAATATTAAAGCTTTAGTCAATTTTCAATGAGTTGTCAAAGTCTTATAACTTTTCGCGCCTTCTGATATTAAAACTTCCTAACAAATATCTTTCAATATTCCGATAAACTTTCAATATTAAAATATTCGAATTTCTAGATTATATAAAGTCGTATAGAATACTGAAGCTTTTGATCTCTAAGAGTTTCTGATTCTTATAAAATATGAAATGTTTGGATCTTTCTTGCATGTTTGTGACATCGAACATAAATCCGAGCGAATGATCTGTAGTCGTAAAATATATACGTTGTGTGTGTCTGCCGCAACACAATTGACTATAAATTTCAAGTATAGTGTACAAGCAAATATATATATATATATATATATATACTCGGTAAATCGTTCTTCAATTCATCCCTTATATCCAAGGCGATATCCGTAATAGCGAGTTGCAGTTGCCGTCGCAGCGAGATCCCAAATCCATTCTCCAAATCGTACTTCAGGGACGTTCTCGAGATCCCTTCCAATTCGCCAAAGGGATTATATCCGTGCGCGTTCAACCACCCCATCGAGCGAGGTTTCGTTTCTCGAGCCGCGGGGGAGAACACACTCGCATGACCACCGGATGCCATCGATATTTCTTACATCATTTATTGTACGAGTCATATTTTCATTCAATCGACGACGTACGATCGTAAATAAATGCAGATCGATATCCTTAGCCTTTTCGAGCGAACTTAAAGAATCGTGCGGCGAAATTGCTCTCTGAGAATCGCTGAGACTTTCTGGGTTGGTTCCAAGAAACTCTCTAACTCCTCCCCGAAAAAGAGTTGGCTTTTGTGCGCTCTGTCTCGCCATCGGAATGCTCCTGATTTCGCGGCGCACTTCCTCCTTTTATGCATCCGATAAAGTATTGCGTAACTATCCGACCAGAGCAGCACAGAAATAACGATCCAAAGCTGAATAGTTCTCATCGTTCTCGCGCTGCTAAAACGCCTGGTTTATATAACGCGGTGCACTCGTAAAAAAAAAAAAAAAAGATCCTTTTCAGACTTTATACTTTTCTATATCTTCCGCCTATCAATTTCAGTTTTAACCCCAATTGCTCTCATCTTTAATTTTTTTCCTAAATCGTTGACTAATATTCAACTTTTCTAAGTCCTTGACAAGTTCTGATTCATTCAAGAATACTCGAGATTAAAGAACATCTCTCTCTCTCATTTCCGTGAATGTTTAACTCACCGAGGGAGTGGTACTCCTGTGGGTCGCTGCTCTGGGATGCGGCAGAGATGTGTTTTTAGCATTGACCGGACCTCCGTTGCAAAATCTCTGGTTATCCCGTCTGGAGGGCGGCGGGGGCGGCGGTAGTGACAGGGGTCTGCCGCCGCTCCTGGTCGGATGTTGCGGCGCAGGCTGGAATTGACTCCAGGATTGACGTGGCAGGTATCCTGCCGTCATGTAACCACCCGAGATGAACTGCGCCGAACCGTTCAGATGCGGCGGCGTCATCACCGCCGTTTGTTGCGCCGTTTGCCCGCCGTTTCGCATCTTTCGTATGAAATTCGTCGTTGACGTTTAGCGTGTTTCTTCAGATGACATTGATACCGAACGTTCGAGAAGAGAAGCTACATCAACGTACTGCACTCACTCGCGATAGTATAACACGCACATTTCTTCTCATCGTCCAAACGCACATCTGTCTTTTGTCACTAGATATTTTTCAAGTCTTTCAATATTTAATTTTTATATAATGATATCTTCTTATAACGTTATTAATAAGTTTCATCTGAGAGAGATTTGTCTACAATTAAAAAGAATTTAAGAGATTGCTTGACAAAAAATTTATGTTTTAATATCTATAACTTAAATTTTATGACGTTTAGATTTGCTTAAAAAATTAGTATTATTGTTATTAATAATTATATTATTAATTCGTGTAAGTCTATTTTACGAGATAGAATGCGCAAACATAGATATAACATAAAATCGCTTGTGTTGTGATTGACAGACATTCGCATGCAGTTCCGTTATTCCTTTCTTCTCTTTGCGGGTTCCATCGCGTCTTGTCCTTCGTTATATAGCGCTAAGCTAAGCGAGGCAGAACAGAGTGCCGGTAAAGGACACGGTCGTCTCAGCAAAAAGTTCCCAAGGAGAGTTCAATAAAAATATAGCAATGAAAAACGAACATCCATCTCGAGAGAAAGAAAGAAAGAGAGAAAGAAAAACAAAATTGTTCCGAGTAGTCATCCTTGCCATGGCTTTTTCCGCGAGCGATGCTTCGGAACACGGGCCGCTCTCGAGTGTCTCTCTTCGTGAACAAAATCGATTTCACGGGCATTTTCGAGAGTTCGAGCGTCGCGACCGATGTTAACGGAACGACGACGCAGCAAAAAGTGTACCTCCTCGATTTTTATCGCTAACGGCGCGATTGTAAAAAAGCGATAGTTGTAAAACTCTCGCCTTGAAGAATTTCGATGCAGGATTGTGCCACAAGCTATAAAGTTGCATCCACGTCGTCGTAATTCGGTCCGGATTACACGGATTATTGAAGCTTTACGTCGCGATCGGATTAGCCAATGTCGCGAAAGTGTTACACAAGTTCAGTGCCAAACGCTTGACTTCGTAAAAATAGAAGAAGCCAATCGCGATAATAATCTAGGTCACCGCGGCGTAGAAAAGGGAAGTTAAGGCTGATTGGATGCGATCGGACTAAATTTCGTCTCGCGACGGCACGTGGCCAGAATATCGATCGACGAAGAGTGTTGAAGGAGAAATTCTCGGTTACAACGAGAGTCTTTGCTGATTCAAGCATAAATTATGAGGATTAACTCCGGCATTTTTTTACTTTTCTTTTTTTTTTTTTTTAAGTAATAAAAAAAATTTAACGAGTTTCTCCGAGATTTGGCGATATCACATCTTTGCATCTTTAGTATATCGCATCTTTAAATCTTGAATTTTCTCTCTCTGGTTCTCGAGAGTCATTATTCATGTTCACATTGACGATCGCTTTCATAATCCCTCGGATCTCAGCGCCGCGGGAAGAAAGGAAGAGAGAACGAAAGATCGTGTCGAGGATCAGCATCGACAAAGGAAGCAAATTAATCGCTTGGCCGATATATCGATCGTGAGGAGAGAAAACAGACGGCTATCGTGACTCTCGTTCCCCGCAATCACGCGAGGGCGATCCGACACGCTCGAATAATTTTCAGGGCGGCAGCTTCCGCCGGAAAGTCCGCGCGTGTATGTACCATTAGGTCGAAAGATCGGGTTCGTTGCGCTATCGATACTCGGTGATACCGGTAGTACGCGGCATTAAATCACCGAGACGGATGGCGATTAACTAGCGGTCGGCGCGGATAGTCTTGGAACACAAGCGGAAGCGAGACCGGCCGCGGCCACGTCTTTCCGCTTTATAACCGCGGGAATGTCGAGAAATTCGCTCCAGGCTGTTCATTCACTCTTTTTCACGCTTTTTTAATCACGCTTAAAACACGCGTAACACACATCCGCGCCAACAAGAGTTTCACAACAAATTTTGCTCTTACATAAATGGATCCGCGTATACGCGTGTTCAGGTGCACTCGTTTACTTTAAGTTCTATAATTATTTGAAGTATCCGCGGTTATCGAACCTCGGAGAATTAGAAAGTTTAAGAGCTAACGTTGTAAATATGGATGAGAAACTTAGGATCCTTACATCAATATTTCTCTGGAAAAAGATTTAACGCATAACGCTTCTCCATTTCTCGATAATTTAACGATAAAGCTTTATGTACGTATATTTTGAAAGATTGCCCCGTTCTAATTAAACTCGGTCATATCAAGTTGCGATATCGTTGCGTAGATATCGTCCTTGTAGACATCGTCGCGAAGACACTCTTTGAATGACACGCCATAAACGTCGAGCATTTCAAATGCAACGGGCACGAGCGTTGGATGAGATGGATGAGTCGCTTGAAATACGATAGCGCATTGTTTTCATGCGTAGCTTGTTTCTAACTAGACTCTCGTTTTCGGTCACCGTCGTTGAAACCTGGCCTTTGTCCTAGCCGCGCCGCGACGGCCAGTGAAAACGTGGGAATATATATGCGCCAGGTATACAAAGGAAAAGATATGTTAGACGTCGCGCGGGGAAACGGGGGATAATTGAACCATTCGCGTCGCGCTACTATTTCTCCCAGAATCACAAACGAGAATGAATAGCATTTTTTTTGCGAAATTATTGCGCGTACTCTTAGAGATATTATATCGCTATCAAGTTTTACGCAAACGACCAACTCGTAAAATGTGTTCAGAACAAGTTATTCCAGACTTGATGAATCTTTCGCGATTATGTATTTTTTTATCAATTTATAATCAAATTTCTTAAAAGGAGGCTCGATAGATACGTCTGCGAGATACACGGTATAGCTAAAGTGTATAATTACGTATCCGGTATGGAGGGTCAATCACCGTTAGACGATAACCGAGCATCGGAATCTAACAGACACTGCGATTTTTCGAAATGGCACACGCGTCCAATCCTGCACATGACACACACGCGTGCGCGCGTACACACATTCCTAGGTAGTGTGTCCGTTATTCCGGAATAATTGGGACTCTCCTGGCTATACTTGCACGTGCGCAAACGACGACGACGACGACGGACACGACGTATTTTTCTACGCGCGCGACGACACGCCGAGGAGGCGGCGAGTCGCCGCACGGCATTCGTTATATCGTCGTTAATTGTTAATCGTGACGCGTAGGCGGATACGTGCCTTTATCGGGACTCGCGCGCCATGAGATCGACGGTCCTGCCACGGTCGACTCTTTTTACGGCGCACGTCGCCGACGCCGGAAAAGGGCTCACGTTGCGAAAAAGGCGCTACGTACTTCTTGCACAGACGATGATGCCAAACGAAGATGGACGCAACAGAGAGAGCTCTAAGTCTCGCTTTATATCTGATATGTCTGCAGTAAAGTTTGACGCTTTAACTTTCCCCAATAAATGTCTTATTAAGCGGATAATAACAGGCATTTAATTAGCCTAAATGATTTCGTTAATAAATTGCGGAAGTATAATATTATTTCTTTATATAAAAATATAATATTATTATTATTAATATACAAATTCTCCCAGAATCACAAACGAGAATGAATAGCATTTTTTTTGCGAAATTATTGCGCGTACTCTTAGAGATATTATATCGCTATCAAGTTTTACGCAAACGACCAACTCGTAAAATGTGTTCAGAACAAGTTATTCCAGACTTGATGAATCTTTCGCGATTATGTATTTTTTTATCAATTTATAATCAAATTTCTTAAAAGGAGGCTCGATAGATACGTCTGCGAGATACACGGTATAGCTAAAGTGTATAATTACGTATCCGGTATGGAGGGTCAATCACCGTTAGACGATAACCGAGCATCGGAATCTAACAGACACTGCGATTTTTCGAAATGGCACACGCGTCCAATCCTGCACATGACACACACGCGTGTGTGTTCGGTCGCGTGCGCGCGTACACACATTCCTAGGTAGTGTGTCCGTTATTCCGGAATAATTGGGACTCTCCTGGCTATACTTCTACATCATAAATTAAACGATTAAGGAAAAGAGATAAATAAATATAATTTTTGCGATAGGATGGTCGACTCGAAAGTTGACTTGAAAGATGCCACTTCAAGATTGGATGGAGCAGGAAATGCAAATTACAGTTAGAGAAAATATAAGTGTATAGAATATCATATAAAAGGAATGAGAGAATATTTTTGATTTCCGTGAGTGGAACGCACTTGGAGCGAAAGTCAGTGACCGATATTTTTTTTGCTATTTTTTGCGCTTTATATGCGCGCGAGTATGCATAATATTATCTTGCCTGTTTAGGATTACGCCGGCTTTGCATGCGTTTTTCCATGCTGGAAATCTAGTTCGATGCGGAGGAAAGTCGGGCGCGTGGAAATACCAGGAAATGTAACAAACTTTGAGCGCTCGAGGCATTAATAATGACGTTGCAACAAACAAACAACGAAAACGATAATTATACCACTTACGTTCAAAGTGGCGAACGTAAGAACGCACTTTTTTTAATAATTTAAAAATATGATTTTTTAAAAGAAACAAAGAGAGATTTATTCTTTCTTTTTGTTGCTTTTTATTCTTATATAAATATATTATTGTATTCTTTTAAATTTTATATTTTAAAAAGAAACATTGAAATAGTTGTTTCTTACGAAAAAGAAGAGGTTTCTCTTTTTTTATCGCTATATTATTGCGGATATTTCTTTAAAGTCGTTTGTTTTTTTGCATTCTCGATGACTTATCATTGTTTTCTCGTAATTTATAGCGGCATTCGGGACATTGCCGGTACAACAATCTAACATAATGCAACAAAACAAAGTTGTTTATCGATTAGTATTACCATCGCGTTCTCACGATT